GGCACAGCCCCCTAAGGTACACATAGCTCCACCCTTGCTACATACATACGGCTGTTATTATCTTAAAACTAGCAAAGTGGCCCGCTCGATGTGCGGACACGAATTTTATGAAGTTCAATGATGAGAACACATTATTTGATCTGTCTAAAAGAACTATAACAAAATGTGATGACATTTCAAATATAATACTTTTGCGAACATAGTTTTCTCTTAGATATGTTCAATTTTTCTATTGATATATAGATATATGTGTTATCCATTTATCATTTACCTCCTAATTATGCATACCATATTAACGTTTTTTTATGACCAGTCGCGTCACATACATTATATTTGTGTTATTTTTCTAGCATTTTATCATGTGGATTTGTTATTTTTGTTTATATAATAATTTAATAGTTCATTATTTTTGTTTATACGCATAGGTAAGTTTGCGAGCAGCTCTAATGTTTCATCGGAGAGGGGATGGTCTCCCCCGGCTCGGGGTGGATCAAATTGAACACAGATTGCTCCTTTGTTTCGCCTGAGATAGCAGGGGCTGGAATGATCCTGCGTGATCATCGTGGAGCCGTTAATTTCTCTTCATGCAGGGCCCTGCACTCTTGTAGAAATGCCCTGGAGACCGAACTTTGTGCATGCATGGAAGGTATCTCATTGACACTTCAACGTAGCAATCTTCCTATAGTGGTGGAGCTGGATTCTCTGGAGGCTGTTACTATGATTTCATGTGAGGTTGTCGATCGATCAGTCTATGCTTCCATCGTCAAGGAGATAAAGTACTTGCTGTCACTTAGACAAACTTGTATTACTCATGTTGTTAGATCTCAGAATAAAGCTAGCGATAGATTAGTAATGTTTGCTAGATCTCAAGGCAGGACCATGACCTGGCTTGGGGCTGGCCTGGATGAGGTGATGAACATTGTTGCCCTCGATTGTAAGAACATTTTGAATGAGTAATACAAGTTTTGAATCCTCAAAAAAAAAAGTTTGCTATCGATCTGTTCTGCAAAGAAAACTTTTGCTATTGATGTGCCTAATTGCCATATTAATTGTAATTTAATGATTTTTCTATACTGTAAGTGTTTTTCAGTTTGGTATATAAAGTTTGGTTTTTTACTTTGACGTGCAGTAAGCACTAAGCAGAACCAATGTTAGCTCCAGTAGATTCCCGTCTATATGTACAGAGGACGGCAACAGCAAAGGGATGCCATAGGGGAGAGAACTATGTTATTACGGTGAAGACACATGGTCAGCTAGAGGAGACGCTCGATTGATCTCACTTGTGGCCCCATCGCCCGGGCATGCTGCCGCAAAACCATAGATACGATGGCTGGCTATTGCTGGGGATATGGACGAGACATAGGTGTGATGTTTTTACCATTGGTGCTACGACTTGTTTTGGGGCAATTTTTCGATTGGCACATTATGCAGTCTCCCGTGGCGGTGGATAGGATTGGTGAAATTGGTTGGTCAAGATTTATTAATGAAAATTATCTTTAGAAATCAATGGTTAGATGTTGGGATTTTTCAAAGTATTTTTCTTTTTCTTTGGTTAGCCCTTAATGTACTCTTAATATATAATATGTACGTATCAAGTTATTTAGTCCCCACCTTTTAGTTTTTATATACTTCCTTATTTTTCTTTGTCTAGTTTTTGGCACATCGGAAATTTACTTATTCGAGAATTTTTGGCACACCAGAAACTGTGTTCTTATGCGAAATTTTATTTCTTATTTACATTCTATTTTATGTTTTTCAGCTTTTGTTATTCTTCATTTACGGTGTATCTCATGTAGGGTATCAATGCATGTACATCCTTGCATCTGAATTAGATGAATGGTTCTGAGACACGTGTAAGAGATACAACTTGTGCTTGTCTTAAATTCGGAAAACGTTGTGTGCGACATGCAAATATAGGGCAAATTGATTTGTCTACCGTACTCACACATGCAAGAGGTTAGGTTGGTTATTGCTTGAGGTGTAAGGGGAGCATACATATGCTGGCTGCACTATAAAGTTTGCAGCTTTAGACGATCCTCAACATACCCGGGGTATGGATCATCACTACTTTTGATCCGAAGAAGTATTGGAGAATTATTTCTCAAACTTGCTTGGCGCGTAGATGATACTAACATAAATCTATGCACTGATGATTGCTCCATCCGTCCATGGATGTAACATGACATGTGTGGCCTAGAATAAAAGGTAAGAGTCAAAGACGGAATATTCCCATCATATCGCAATGGTGGTTAAATTTACCAATTAGATCTTCGTTTGGTCTCTACGCTCCACATTGGTGGAAGAGCCGCTGGATCACTCGATAGGGAATACTAGCCGTACCCGCGCGGCGGCACGCCGCGCTCCGTTGATACGATACGTCTGTATATGTTATTTTTGGCACACGTGATGTAAATCTTATTGTATAAGTTATATGGTGTATGAATAGTGCCTTGCGAATTCCTTCTGCTGACAGGTCACCTGTTGGAGTCCCATGTTGGACTGCCATTCTTTGGTATGAGTCCATTCTTGCGTTGTAAATAGGCTTCTCTTTGCGACGGCGTCAAACGTTTGGTAGTTTTGGTCATTGATGGCCACATTGTGGCGTTACTTCTGCTATGTCGAGTGTTGTAGCTGGGTACCGATGAATGTAGCTTTATGTTGTTCATGCTGGGCTAGTTGACATGGGAGGTCGACCATTACCCAGGCTTCTATGGCGTCATGAGGTCGTGTCTAGTGGCCATAGCCATGGATCTGCAAGTTGGATTTCAGAATGACTACCTCACGTGGAACGCAACACGGCATGTAGATCACCAGAATATCCTGTATCATACACAAATGTGAAGTGGTCATACCTTCAAAGATGCTGCAAATATTTTCTCTTCAAAGCGCCGAGGAAATTATCAGTTCGTGAACTACAACTATTCATTTTCTCGTCGACTTGTACAAACACAAATAGTACTCGCTTTCTTCCAAGCGATGACGCAAAGACACCTGAACATACTGCACGTCGTTAAGAGTTAATAAGGAGGTATCCAGTGTCTCATATCAAAGTCCTCGGCAAAATCCAGGAGGCAGCTAACTAATCATGATTCTTCCATGGATGATGAAGGTCTCACGTCAAACAAACTAAGAAGACCTGAAGAGGACAAGAAGGGACGTTTTTTTGTAGGATGAATACAACTACAGTACAAACTATATTAGTGGTACAGTATGTACTGCATTACATAACTACAAATAAACTAAGCATGCTTTCCTTTCAGGTCAAGCTTTGCCGCTGCCAACTACTGTCACCGTTAGCAGCACCTACTCCAAAGAACATACGGTCAGTCTACAACATAACTGCATCGTCGAATGGAATTAAAAGCCTATATATTGTGACATAGAATTTTTAAAGAACACACTACCTCCAACGCCACACAGTGTATTCTAGATTGAACCATGGGAGCAAAGCTTTGATGAATACATCAAATATTTCCTCTTCAATATCCACACCACTGAAAATCTATGGTGCAATCTCTCATTAGAGACCCCATCATCTGCTAATTGTTGCGCGGTCACCTCCACGGCAAAACCCAGCAAATGCACTCCTGATCTTTGGCACTACATGTGTTCATCAATTTCCTGCTAATTGAATACATGCCCTGAAAAAGAACACTTATTATATCACAAATTTACAATCCATAATTCCATATCACTAATACATGCCTTGTCCACGAACAACAAATAACCTGTAATAACACAATTCCATACTTGTCCGGTGAACTCAGCACAAGTATGTACTTGCCCACATTTTTTTGCTGTAATAACATCATACTACAACAGCAGATCAATCAATCGAACAACAGGAAAAAAAAAACAATCTACTCACATCTTTGTCCATCAAAGGAGCTTCGGGTTCGGGTAGGCTGTAGATCGATTAGAAGACGCTGGCACGTCGATCACCAGCCACTCC